GGTGATGGCAGAGTGTGAGACACGGAATCTGGGCCGGGAGCTGGATGGGGGCCGGGAGCCGCGATGTGGGGTGGGGACTGTGCCTGAGAGAGCCCTGCGTCTTCCCAGCAGCCTTGCTTAGGGCTTTTCTGGGAGGTTGGGGCTGTGGGTCCTCCTGCGGGTCTGTGGTCACCATCTGGGGGTGCAGGGTCTTTGAAGTCCCACCCCTTTCCTCCTCCTGCTCTCGCCGCCGTCTCCCCGCCTGTCCGCGGCCTCCGTTCTGCCTGCTCCCTCCAGCGCCTCCGCCGCTCCGCCCTGCGCTCTCCCCGTCGCCTCCTCTGGGCATCTCCCCTCCTTACCTCCGGGCGGGTGGCCGTTCTGGCTGGGGCGGCTGAGGGGACAAGTTTGGGGTGTTTATTATTGTCCTCCTAGCAACGATGGCCAGCCCAGCCCCGAACCGACCGCGGGCTGTTGGGGCGCGTCCGTGGCTCCCAGGCCTTTTCAGGATGGGCTGGTGGTGGCAGCGGGTGGCCTGGCTCTGGCACAGCCGCGTACCTAAGCTCTGTAGGCTTGGCCTCCCTCTGCCTTCAGCACCCTCAGGGTGGGGGTCCTCCTGCCTGCCGACCACCGGGAGCTGGCAGCTGGTGATGGCAGAGTGTGAGACACGGAATCTGGGCCGGGAGCTGGATGGGGGCCGGGAGCCGAGATGTGGGGTGGGGACTGTGCCTGAGAGAGCCCTGCGTCTTCCCAGCAGCCTTGCTTAGGGCTTTTCCGGGAGGTTGGGGCTGTGGGTCCTCCTGCGGGTCTGTGGTCACCATCTGGGGGTGCAGGGTCTTTGAAGTCCCACCCCCTGGGCCTCTGGTGCCTGCCTCTCCAGCTGGACCCTGGGCGGGTGTCCTAGTGGCTGGACCCTAAGGAAGGGCAGGGGCCCCAGGGTGAGGGGGGTTCTGGCCGCCTGGAGCTGCCTCATGCTGGCTCAGATTTTTCTACTTCTTCCACCTGCTTGCTCAAGGTGAGGGTCTGCCCTGAGATACATGGTCACATGGACGTTCACAGGTGGGTGGAGGCTGATGTTGGTTTCATCTGCTGCCCCCCTAGAGGGGAGCTGAGACCTGGCTGAAGAGCCTCATGGCTGAGGCCTCCAGGTGTGGGCATTGCAGAGACAGGGCCTACTCCTCACCCACCCCCAAGGGCAGGTCTGACACTACTCATGTCATTGAGAGTGGCTGGGTGTGACCTCGTGTGTGGTGACCATGTGTGCACATCCTGGAAGGTATGTGCACAGGACCCTTTCTGGCATCCCCAGTTCAGCGATGGCCTCCACTTGTCCAGCTGGTCCGTCCAGAACCAGGGAGTCCTCCCCGACTCTGCTCCCTCACACCCTCACAGACAAGTCCAAGCCATCCCTGTGGCTGGGACCCTGCCCTCGGGACACATTTGGAGCCTAGCAGCCTCACCTCCTCCCCTGCTCCTAAAGGGGCCCCAGCCATTGTCATCTCTGTCCTGGGTTATTGTCCTCACCTCTTGACTAGTCTTCTGGTCACCTCTTGACTAGTCTCCAGCTGTTCCCTGTGCTGTAAGTCAGCTCATGGGGCTGAGCGACTCAGGAGCTCCAGGCCGGCGTCAGGCCTGGGGCCAGCACCCCTGCTCAGGCCCTGGCTGAGCCCCCCACTTGGTTTCACGCCCTGCTCTGGCTGTTCAGAAATTCTTCATAATTTTCCAACAAAGGCACCGAGATTTCATCTTGCACTGGCCCGGCGGGGACTTCCCCTCTCACTCCAGGACATGTCTGCAGCAGGACTTCAGGAGTGTGTGAGGCCCTCCATCACTCAGCTCAGTCCCTGTGTCTTTGTGCTGGCTGTTCCCTCGGCCTGGGTGCAGTGACCCAGATGTCCCCCTCCCCAACCCCTCCCAGCACAGTCCATCCCCGTCCCCCCTTCCGTGTTCTCTGTGTCACTCACACCTGCTTATGGGCTTTCTTTGCCACTGCCTCCCTGGTGGGAGGGAGCCTCATGATGTGGGGACTCTGTCAGGGTCTTGGTCACGGCTGTCTCAGTCCAGGCCACCACCTGGCCCATAGCGGTGCTCAAGATGTGTGGTAGAGGATGCAAGTGTCCACGAATTGTGAGCCGGGAGATTGGCAGGGGCACGTTCACGTGTATGCTGTGAGTGCACAGGGTGCCTATGTGCAAGCACGCACCCGTGCACACTGGCTGGAGCCCCAGGGCCTGGTCTCAGGGTGACATCAGCCCTGGCCATCATTCAGGCTGTGCTTTCTGTGCCCTCATGCTGCCACAGTGCTCTCTGCCTGTCCTGACCACACCAGCTCCTTAGATCCCTCTTTGGCTGATACCCCTGGGACCACAGGCACCAGAGACCATCCCTCCCGGGCTGCCTGATGCCCTGACCACCCAGTACTGCCCTCACACAGTGGCCACCCAAGTACCAGTCAGCGTCTTGTCAGTGGTAGCCATAAGGGAGGCTCAGAGCCTCTGTCTCCACCTCTGTCCCTGCTGTCCCCCCACCCCAAGGCCCCCTGCCTGTTGTTCAGTCCCAGCATGCCTGGCTTGGGGAAGTAGGTCCTCTGGTTCAGGGCTTGTGTCCTGGGGTGGATCTGGTGCTGTGGACCAGGTATGGTGGGGACCCCAATTGGCCATGCTGGGCCCATGAGCTGCTCCTGGTGGGCCATGTGGACATAAGCTGGTCCATGTGCAGGCGGTGGACCTCGACCCCTGACACTGAGAACAGAGGAGCAACTAAGTGTGGTGGGACCTAGAGGACAAAGGAGGACCCAGCAACCTTGGCCGGGGGAGGGGGTGTCCAAAGGTGGACATGGTGGAGAGGGCAGGTGACATGGGTCAGAGGGCTGGCAGTGGACTCGGGACCACTCTCAGGACGGGTGGGTGGCCTGGTATGGCTGGAGTGCAGTGTTTCCAGAAGCGGCCAGCTTGAGCCTCGGAGTGCAGGATCTGTGCTAGCCCGGGAACTGCAGCCCAGGATGGGGAGCCCCACTCTGACAACACCCCTCCTCCCCAGGGCCAGACGGGCCCGGCCAGTGCCAAGATGAGCGTCACGTCCTGGTTCCTGGTGAGCAGCAGCGGCACCCGCCACCGGCTCCCACGCGAGCTCATCTTCGTCGGGCGTGATGAGTGCGAGCTCATGCTGCAGGTGAGTGTGCGGGCACCTCCGGGCAGAGGGCGGCGTGGGGACCAGGAGCTCCACTTGCTTGGAGACACCCTGGCGAGGAGGCCACGACACAGCCCCAGGCCTGGGCATTGCCACCTGGGCCCTGGACACACAGGAGAGTTCGGGGTCTCCTGCGGGTGTGTGCAGGAGCATGCGTGTGTGCTCGTGGGCTTGGGTCCCTTCCCCTGCAGATTGGACCTATTCCTGATGGGAGGGTGCTCAGGCCCCTGTCAGATTCTCAAAGGTGTGGGGGCCCAGGAAGGGTGAAAAGGTGTCTTTGTGCACACAGGGAGCTGAGAGCTCACCTTTAAAAGGTGCTGGAAGGTGGATCCGTCCATATCCTTATTGTCTGGGGGCCCCACCTGGGCCATGAGTGTGGCTGGGGAGCCACAGGGCCAGCTCTGATGTCGGAGCTACCTGAGGGTGCTCCTATTGCTCTCGCTTTCAGACATGTCGGGGTAAAGTCTGGTGCCCTTTGGATGGTGCGCTGGGCAGGAGGGGGCCCCTCTCTGGCAGGGTGCTGGGCAGTCAGGAATTTCTCCCTGGCCTGGGTTTCAGAGTCTGCCCGGAGCCTCATGTTGGCTTCTGTGGGGCTCATGCATCTGGCTGTGTGGGAGCGAAGGGAGGGAAATGTCCTGACCCTGCGGTGTCTGTCCTGGCCTGGGATGTCCTGTGGGCCCCTGTCTCCAAGTCCCCTGAGCTCCATGCCTCTCAGAAGGAAAAGAATGTCCTGGGTGGGCGGCACTGTCCAGTCCAGCTGAAGGGCCTGCTCGGGTGCAGGAATGCTGCCCAGCACACCCAGGGATGTCCCAGGTCCTCTGTGGCCCCACTCTCAGTTCCCATCTGCCACCCTGGCTGCTGCTGCTGGCCCCGGGGAGGTGGGCGGCACTGTCCAGTCCAGCTGAAGGGCCTGCTCGGGTGCAGGAATGCTGCCCAGCATACCCAGGGATGTCCCAGGTCCTCTGTGGCCCCACTCTCAGTTCCCATCTGCCACCCTGGCTGCTGCTGCTGGCCCCGGGTGTGCGTGAGGCTCTGGCGAGGTGGGCAGGGCTTGGGCTGCGGTGAGGGGTCCTGGCCATGTGTGCATTCACTTGGGCAGCACGTGTTTGTCTACCTGTACCCAGGAAAAGCCCGTCCCAATAGTCCCCCGCCTGCATCCATGCTGTGGTCGGCCCTGCATATGTGTGTCCCTCAAAATTCTTGTGTGGGGACTTTAGCCCAATGTGATGGTATTAAGAGGTGGAACCTTTGGGAGAGGATTAGGGCATGAGGGCTGTGCCCTCGTGATGGAATTAGGGCCCCTGGAAAAGAGGCTTGAGGGAGCTTGTTCACTCCTTCCGCCAAGTGAGGACACAGCTAGAAGGCGCCGTCTCTAGTGAGGACATCAGCTAGAAGACAGAGCCCTCACCAGACACCACATCTGCTGGTGCCTAGACCTCGGACTTCCAGCCCTCAGAACCGCAAGCAATGAATTTCTATTGTTTATAAATTACCCAGTCTAAAGTATTTTGTTATGGCAGTTGGAACGCAGTGAGTCCGGACACTCTGGCTTCTCCCCCAAAAGTCCTCTGATTTTCTTGAGTCTAGACCCAGCAAGTTTCTCAGATGGTGGCTAGTGGTTCAGGCTCTTAAATTTCTTTAATCTAGAATGTTCTCTCCCCTTTTTTCTCTTTTCTTCGTGCCATTGGTAGTTGGAGAGACCGGGTCGGTGGCTGTGGGGAGGAGTCGGCAGATGCTTTCTGCAGGGCTGGGTAAACATCTCAGGCTCTGTGGCACCCAGCTCTGGTGAGGCCACTTGGCTGTGCTGTCCTGGGGAGGAAGCAGCCTCAGACGCTTCTGAGGACGGCCCGGCCAGGGTGCCTGTAACACTCCATCTGCAGGCGTTGAATGACCAATTTCCTATCATTTTCACATGTCATGAAATAGTCTTGTGGTGATTTTTAATCATTTAAAAGCGTAAACACCGTTCTTAGTTCTCAGGCTGTACAAAGACAGGCATGGGTTGTGCCGCACCCCTGTGTCGCGTGTGTTGCATGGCACTGTCCACACACAGGTGTGGCGGTGGTGGCCCTGCAGCTCTACCCACATGGCCAAGAGGGCCTCTTGGAGGAGGCAGCACTTGTGGCCTTTGGGAGGAGTGGGAGTGAGCATGGGGTGCCAGGGACCCAGCGTGGTGGTGCCCCTCCCATCCCACACCTGGTGCCACCTGCACCAGGCCCACCCTCTCTCTGGTTGCTTCTTTTCCCAGGAATTGGAGGAGAGGCCACTTTTGGGGGTTTGGGGTCCTATTCCTAGTTTCTGGGCCTGTGGGTGGAGCCCCACATGGGACGGGAGTGACAGGGACTTCTTGGCTCTCCATCCCGGGCCAGCCCCTGGCCTGGTGGTGTGGCTGTGTGAGACGTGTTTCCATCTTGCATGGGGAAACTGAGGCTTGGGGAGGTCGTGCAGGTGTAGAGTGAGTGCAGAAGGCCATCCATCTCCAGCACCCTGCAGCTGGCCTCCCGCCCCCAACTCCTGCCCTCGCCCACTGGCCCTTGCTCAGAGCGCCCTTCTTCTCGCCTCCTGCCGCCTCCCTCACCCCTCACTCCCCTGCAGAGCTGCCCCTGCTAGGAAGTTCCTCACCTCTGTGCCCTTCTCGCCCCCATCCCCCTGGCTCCAGGCTGCCCTGGCACATGCATGATGGTGCCACCGCCACCCAGGCCCTTGGGACTTTTCCAGGTGCTTCCCTCTTCTTCCTGGGACAGCTGTTCCGGGTTCCTCTGGCCTCTCAGTGCTTGGCCTCAGTGGCCCTCTGCCTGCTCGCCTCTCTCCCTGGGGGTCCTGTCCACACACCGCTGCCTCGGTCTCCACCTCTGCACAGATGGTTCATGTGCTGTCTCGCGCCTGGCCTGTCTTCAGCTTCCAGCCTCCGAGAGCCTTCCTCCTGGGCTCCTTGGAGGCAGCACAACCCAGCATGGCAGAACGAAACTCATCATCCTCTGTCCCCTCCACCTGGGTCCCTGGCAGGGTCTGCACCAGCCATCCAGGAGCAGACCCCGGCCTTCCCTCTCCCTCACCCCAAGCTCTGCACCTACCCAAGTGCCCCTCCCAACCCCCCTCCTGTGCACAGACAGGAACCCCAGCCCACCAGGCCTGTGCTGGACCCCCGCTGCTCTCTGCACCTGTCCTGGCTCTCCAGGGTCTGGTTCCATGCCCACCTTCCTGTCCCTGGAACCTACCATGCCCCGTCACGGCCCCTCGCCCACCCCCAGCCCCACCAGCCAGCTCCTCACACGCACGCTGTCGGCTTCGTGTGCCACGCACTCCTGGAGAGCCCCAGCCTGCCCTCTGTGTGTCCTCATGGTCGTCCCCACATCTGTCCGCTCATTGAGCTCACGCCTATGTGCCAGCACTGGGAGAGCCAAGCAGAGAACCTGCCCTCCCACGGCATCCATCCAGGGAGGAGCCAGTCCACAAACACGTAGCCGGTCAACAAGATGCCCCCACCCCACAGAGGGAGAAATGTTCCCATGGGACAGCATGACATCGGAATGAGAGGGAGCAGCACAGGAGCTGGGTGGGAAGGGGCCTCTGTTCCAGGAAGAGGGAGGAGGTGTGTGCCCACGGGTGAGGCTGTGGGAAGACAGAGCCCTGTGTGGGCACAAGGGGAGCCTGAGCGGCCTGGAGGTTTGATCAGAGGCCATGGCTCTGATCACTCTGGGCAGGAGGTGGAGAAGCTGTTCTAGAGGCAAAGCCACCAGCTGTGGCCACGTGTGTCCCCAGGCCACGCTCTCCAGGGCCCTGCTGTTTGCTCACCACAGCATCTGGCTCCCAGGGCCAGCCTGGCACAGAGCTGGTGCCCAGCGAGGATGTGTTAAATGACACGAATGTGGGGGGAGTGTGCACCAGGTCTGCCTGCCGTGGCTTTTGCTCCAGGGGCAGCCAGGGCTCTGGTACAGGCTATGCTGTACGTGTGTGTGCATGGGATTGGGCACGTGTATTGTCCACTTGCCTGTATACATGTGTGCGTCCACATGTGCCACATGCGAGTACATGCATGTGAGTGCACATACCTGTGTCTGTGTATGCAGTGTGCATTTGTGTGCTTCTCCATGTGTGCACACGTGTGCATGTGCTTCTCTTTGTGCACACGTGTGCACATGCATGTGTGTGTGCTTCTCTGTGTATGCACACGTATGCGCATGCCTGTATGTGTGCACATTTGTCCTTCTCTTTGGGTGTGCACATGTGTATTGCGTGTTTCTGGGGAGGTGTCCTCTCTGCCTGCACCTGGCTTGCCCTTTGGCTGTCCATGGGAGTGTGTGACAGCCGGGATTTGTACACTATCATCCAACCCAGAAACCGCAGGCTCAGGACCACCCCCACGGCGAGTCAAGCCAGGCTGCTGTGGGTGCCTGTGGCCTCGCTGGCTGTGGCACTGGAGATGAGCTAGCAGGAGGGTGTGCCCAGAGCCCTGGGTTGGGGCCATGGTCAGACCAACACAGCCAGGGGTAGGGCTGTCACCCACTGAGGGCATCAGACACGGATTTTGGAAACACATCTTTATTCCGTTTTAACGCAAGTGCAAATTATTAGAACCTTTCCCCAGAATCCATGTTTGGAGCTCCTCACGGCCCTTCCACAGGTCTGTGTTCACCCCGGCTCCTCCTGCCTGAGGAGTTTCCTTCCATGGGCCCTGGCGTGTTGTTTGATGTCTTGTGCCCTGGACCAGGGCCCACCTCTCATGGGCAGTCTCCTTCTAGTTCCTGAGCACGTGGACTTGGCCAGGTGGGGATCTGCTTCTGGCCTGGGGTGCGGCAGCTGGGAAGGGAGGTTTCTGAGGGGGTGCTTTCCCCTGCCCCCTCTCAAACCCTCCCCATGAGTCCCTGAGGCTTCCTGCCATCTGGGGAGGGGCTTGGCAGGAGCTTGTGTGGTGACAAAGCCCTGGCCAGGGGTGGAGGGTCAGGCAGGCTCTGGGTGTGAACAGGGGCCAGTGGGGGGACCCTGAGCCAAGTTAAAGGAACCAATTTGGAAGCTGGGGCAGGGTGGGCGGGGTGGGGTGTCTTGCTGGGAGAGGGAAGGTAGGGGCAGGGAGGGTGGTGGTCCTGGACACAGAGAGTTACATAGGCTGAGACCCAGGCCCAGGTGAGGGTCTGGCCAGAGCCCAGCTGTGGCTGGGCAGGGAGAGGAAGGTTTAGAGAAGCTCCCGGGCCCATGGCTCATGGGTGGTCTGTCCTCCCAGGCCAGGGGAGCCCCAAGAAGCTTCAGCAGGAGAGTGAGGGGTCAGAATGATGGGTAGGGCCTGGTGGGGGCTGGGAGGACAGGGCAGGTGGCCGTGGGATGGAGGCACACTGGTGGCTGCTGGGGAAGAGGAGCAACGGCGTTGGTGCCTGGGGGTGGGCAGGGGGCTTGGCTGGTGGGCATTCCTGGGAAAGCCTGGAGGAAAGGGCAGGCTGGGCTTGAAGTGCCCAGAATGGGTCTGGGGGTCTGTTCAGGAGGTAGCTGTCAGGCCCAGGGGTGCAAGACTTGGGGAGGGGGAGTTGTTCAGACTGGAAAAGTCAGCCTGGAAGCCCCTCCAGGGGTCACTCCTTAGCAGAGATGGCATCCAACTCTGCGGCCCCTCCCTGCCTGGCCTCAGACCAGCAGAGCTCAGGACCCCCATGCCACCCCCTCCTCTTTCTCTTTTTGGACTCTTATCGTCCAGGGAGGTTGGATGCCCAGCAAGGTGCCATCTGTGCCAAGGAGTGACCGTGTGTCAGGCAGGGCCGAGGCGGGGCTGCTGGCTGTGCACAGGGCTAGGGAGCAGGCGAAGGTGAGCCCCCAGCCCCATCAGGGAGCCCCAGTCCTCCCAGCGTCCAGGCAGGACTCTAAGGTAGGAATTGTGGTGCACGAGCCTTGGGGCTGCGAGGGGCAGCTAAGTGGCGTGAGGCAAAGCTCCCTGCAGAGGACTGCTGGTTCTTGTCACCCCTCATGCCTGCTCTGTGCCAGGTGGGGGAGGCTGCAGGCCAGGCCAGTAGGAGGGGTCATAGTGGGGAGTCCCCTGGGCTGGCCTCTTGGAGGAGGTGAGCACTGAGTGTGCCAGCATCCAGAGGACAAGCTGGGGAGTCCTGTGGAGGAGGTGGTGTCTGGCATGACCCTCCTTCCTGGTCCTCTTCAGGCCCAAGGCTGCTGCCAGGGTGGGCAGGAGCCCTTTAGCTGTAGGTGCCAACTTTGGGAGAGGAATTTGGAACAGGGACAGAGATGGGGACTAGGGGTGGGGCAATAGGTCTCAAGGTCAGACCCACCCTGCCAGAAGCCTGTTGCTTTGGGGAGCACTAGGATCAGCCCTGAGGGGCTTCCCAGGGAAGGGTCCCCAGCAGGCTGAGCCACTTACGCGAACTTCTCAGGGACGGTGTGGGCTGTGCGGGTGGAGGTGGCTCAGGGATGGCTGCTGGAGGACCCTGCGCTCCTCTTTAAATTGCCTCTGACACGCCTACCAACTTCCTGGGAGGACTGAGGGTCCATGGCAGCATGAGGTGTGGGCCTTGTCCACCCCTCCCCACACTCCCCCACACTGTGGTAGCCAGGTCCCCCCTGCATCACCACCATTGTGGGTCACACCGGTCACCTTGGGGCTTCTGAGGGCTCAGTCCTTGGGATGGCAGTGGCTGTCAGAACATGGAGGCAGTGCTCAGGCCCACTGTGGACACACTTCAGGCCTCCTGGCCATCACGAGCCCCGTCCAGTTGCCCTGGTGCCTCTGCTGGGACTGGAGGTGAGGCCTCGACCAAGCTGGGTGACCTTGGGTGGGGGCAAGTCTGGGCCAGAGCCCATGCCCACCCCCACGCAGCCCCTGCTGTGTGCCCAGGCCTCTTAGCGAGGAAGGAAGCCCGGCCCTGGGAGCTTCTAATCCTTGGGAGGGATGCCAGGGCCTACCCTGGAAACTGGCTATTTCAGAATGGTGCCAGGGCCTGGGCAGGTGGAGTGTGTCAGAGAGCAGGTGGGGCTGGGCAGTGGTAGCAGGCTGCCCAGGGAGGTGGCCCGAGGGTCCTAGAGCTCTCACCTGTGAGGCTGAGAAGCTCCTCTGGGACCCAGGAGGTGGTTCCTGGGCCACCCTCCCGTGGGTCAGGGTTGTCCTGTTCCAGGGTGGGGAGCAACTGTGCAGGCCTGTCGCTGCCACTGGTGTGCTCTGGAGCCTGGCCTGGGTGTGTCCTGGGGGCACCTCCTAGACAGTCCATAGGTGGCTGCGTGGGTCGCACACTGTCAGCTTCCCTGGGTTGGGCCCCCAGGCCTACCACTCCTCAGTCGAGGGGGCAGGAAGAATACAGCTGCCCCAGACACCCCCAGCCCCCAGCCATGAAAGGCAAAGTGGGGGGTGGGTTGGGGGGTGGCGCTCTGTGCTGAGACCTCCAGCCTCATGGGCTGGGTGATGTGGGCCCATGTTGGCACCATCTAAGCAAGTAGGATGTGACCCCCTCCCTGCGTCTGTCCCCCAGCCCTGGTGGGGGAGTGGGGGAGGGGATCAGCTGTGTCCCTGCAGTTGGACGATGAGGCTGACCACGTGAGGGAGCTGGGGCGGCTGTCCTTGTAAGGAGTCCCAGGTAGGCTGGTGGCCAGGGAAGGGTTAGACACACTCAGGGTGGAAGTATGTTGGCATGTGTATGTGTGGGGTGGGAGGTGGTAGCTGGACAGCAGTGAGTGTGATGCTGTGTACATGGGAGGGGACCCCCTCAGGCATGCACAGGTGTGTGTGCACACGCGTGTCTGACGCGCTGACAGGTGGTGGGTGCCCCTGGGGGCCTGGGCCAGGAGTGGGGGGAGGCCTCTCGCTGAGACAAATACCCCCCACCCCCAATCCCCCGATCTGAGCTGGAGCCTGGCTGGCCACCTCGCCTGCCCTCGGGAGGGAACAGCATGTCCCAGATGACCAGAGGGTTCCCACCCCCTCCCACGCCCATCCAGGAGAGTGCTCAGGGAAGGTGGGGGGAAGTGGCCCTGGCATCTCACCAAATTCCTGTGACCTGCTTTGGTGACTGGGTAGGCTTTCCTGGGTGCACACACTGTAGGGGTGGGGCCTCGTGGGTTCCAAGGCCCAGGGGGCTACTGTTGGTATTTTGATGGGGCGCAAGGAGGAAGGGGCTGACCGCACCCTCGGCAGGCCTACAGGGGTACTGCTGCCTCCTGGGTCTTGCCTCCCTGGGATGGGGCACCTGAGGGCAGTCTGTGTGTCTCTCCAGTCCCGCAGCGTGGACAAGCAGCATGCCGTCATCAACTATGACCCAGACAGGGACGAGCACTGGGTGAAGGACCTGGGCAGCCTCAACGGGGTGAGTACCTCGGCCCCTGCCCTGGCTCCACCTCTGTTCGAACGCCCTGCCCCTTAGCTCTGGCTCTGCCCCATTATCTCTGGCCCTGCCCCTGTGTTCTGGCCCAACATCAGCTCTGGCCCTGTCCGTCCATCATCCCCCCCGCCCCTGCCCTGTCCCCCCTCCCCCGGCCTGGCCCCACCTGCTGTGTCCTGGCCCCGCCCCCATGCACTGGCCCCACCCACCTTCTGCTCCCCTGGGAAGGAGGCCTCCCTCAGCTGCAGAGGTTGGGGCCTCCCGGGAGGGCTCCCACTGGCAGGGACTCACGCCTCCAAGGACGTGGCTGCTCTTTGGGAGAGTGGACCCCTCAGGTGGGAAGGGGAGGCACTGGGCTGGGAAATGGGGCCCTGAGATGGAAGGAGCGGAGCCAGGGCACCTTGTCTGTGTGGCAGGGAGAATGTGACCTTCTCTTTTATGAGTCGGGGGCAGGGTGGTGACCAGGAGGGAGGCCCTGACTGCAGGAGCAGGAAGGAGGTCAGGCAAGAAGAACCGGCTGTGTGGGGTGGAAACAGGGCAGGAAGGACAGGGAGGAGCCCTCTCTAGAGACACGTGTGTCTGTCTGTCCTGGAGATACTGTCTGGATGTCTCTTTGTTACTTTCTGTGTTTGGTAGACACAAGCCTGTCCTGGGCCACTGTGCAATCCTGAGCTGGGGGCTCCCACGGCAGCCTCAGGCTGGCCCTGCTGCTACCATGTGGGTGCTGCAGCGAGCAGTGGGTGTCACCCCTCAGCTCCTGCCTCAAGGTGCTCCCAGCCAGGGGCCTCAGGCACCGCTGGGGTCTGCCCTGAGCCCCCTCTTCCCTCAGCCCTTCTGTCAGATGAAGCAGCCCTGCCTGCACAGGGCTGCACGGTGAGGGGCCTCTCCTCTGCCTACTACATGGGCTGCGCCATTCACATGGGCTTCAAGAGGGTCCTGGGGGTTGCAGGCCCTAGATGTGTGGTACTGGACTGGTACGCACTCCTGGGCTCTGCAGGGCAAACTATCTCAGAGGCCTGTGATGTCCACAGAGCTGTGGCCAGCTGCCGTCTGCCCCTGAGACACTGGACTCAGCCAGGGACACAGGCTGGCAGAGAGGTGGGCCTGCTTCCTAGCTCAGAGCCCAAGGACTGCTGCTTTACGTGTGACATGTGCTGCCTGAGCTTGCAGCAGTCCCAGCCCCTCCCAGGCCCGTCTCTCCATGGGCAGACCCCAAGGAGCCACCCTCCACCTCGGCGCTAGAGATCCTCCTCTCCTACAAGACTTCTCCATGTTTGTCTTGTTTCTTCCAGACTCTGGGCACAGGAGCCGTGCCCAAGTCACTACTGTCTTCCCTCTCACCCTGGCCTGTCCCAGAGGCCCTCAGCATGTTAGGCCCTTTCATTCATCTGACTTGATGGAGGGAGAGGGTTTCTGGGGACTGGCTCGTTGATGTCCCCGCGAGCTGGCAGTCTGGTTGGGGGCGTCATCAGGCCAGCCTTGCTGTGGGCCTCCCAGGGGCAGGCAGGCCTCAACTGTTCCCAAGGGCACATGGGATTGAGGGGGGGACCGTGTGGCTGAGAGCATCTCTTAGCAGACTCCTCTTCACAAAGATGTTCAGATGGGTTTGCTCTCGAGGGGTCCCATCAGCGTACATGTAGCGCTGGGTGACGCCTGGCATCTCGGTCCCCTGGCCCGTCCTTCAGTGGCTGCCTGTACCCTGGTCTCTGTGGAGCTCGAGGCTGGTCATGCACATGCCAGTGGTGCCTTTGGCCCGGATGGTGCTGGGGGGCCTCTGTGCCACATGGGGGAGACGTCCAGGTCATTTGCTTGCCGTGGACTCTGTAGAGTTGGTGCCCCCCGCCACTCACCCGCCTGCTCAGCCCACCACCTGCTTCCCCCACAGACATTTGTGAATGATGTGCGCATCCCAGACCAGAAGTACGTCACGCTGAGGCTCAATGACGTCATCCGCTCCTGCAAATAGCCAGTACATGGTGTTAATTGTTGATAAAACTGTTCTAAAAAGTTTACTTATTATTGCCTCACTATTTGTGAAATCTTTAAACATTAACTCTAAAACTTTTTTTCAAAAATAAAATCACATAAATAATATTTAAAAGAACACACAGATTTAAAATGTTTAAATCAAATTTTTCTTGCATTAAAAATTAATCATTGCATTTTTCCCAACCCTATCATCACCCCTAAGCCTGGAAATGGTGTTACATGATAGAGTTTTAACATGTGACTACAATATCCCAAGTACTAAACTAAATATTAACTTAGTTCGATCAGGGTCAGGAAGTTCCACAGTACTTAGCCAATCATTATCTCTTACCACCTACTTTTTTCACTAAACAACCTTTTATCCTCCAATAAATAAGAATTGCAATAATGCCCCCGTGCCCCAGGCTGCTTTTCCCTCAGTCCCCAAGGCCATGGGTGCCCTGTTATCCCAGAGGTGGGGTTGGGGCCTCAGCAGTCACAGCTGGGATTTGAGAACGCCGGGGATGGATCTGAGGTCGCCAGGGCCTGAGGAGTGATTGGCGGCTCCATAGGCCTGACCTTGGGGCTGCCCAGGCTCGGCATTCTGTGCTCGGAACGCTGGTGAGCATGGCTGTGCCTCCCTGGGAAGGAGGCCTTTGCCCGGGCAGCCAGGGGCCTCTCCTGCACCCGCCTCTGGGCCTGGACTACGGGGCTGGCCTCTGGGCACCGGTCTGTGTCTTCCCAGCTCTTCCTGTTCCACGTTCTCCTTAACGTGCTGCCACATTCCAACATGTACGTGCTGGAGCGTGTGCAGCACCGTGTCCCTGAGGAGGCACTCAAGGCGAGTGCTGGTCAGCCCCTGTCCCCGTGGTCCCTGCACTCCCACTGTCCGTCTCTCCTCAGCTAACACCCCTAAGCCTCTCAGGCACCCTGTCCTGGCTGTGAGTGCCCTGAATCAGTCTGGCCTGCTCTGCCTGGCCAGATGGCCCAGTCTGGTGGCCGAGAAGCTAGTCATTAGCCACTGAAGCTGATGCAGTGACAGATGTGGGGGCAGCTGGGGCTACAGGAGCGCCAGTGCCGATGCAGCACGTCCAGGGACTCCCAGAGGGGACTGTGAGGATGAGGGCCAAGCAGTCAGCCTGCTGGAGCTGAGTAGGCTTTTTGAGCTGCTACGAGGACCTTGGCCTTGGGCCCAGGTTGGGTTTGGCTCTGTGGCTCATAGGACAGTTCATCAGGGCGAGCTGGGTGGCTGGGAGCCCAAGAGGAGGCAGGGCTGGGAGCCAAGTGCACATGGAGGCACACGCGCTCTGCTCGGACAGGCCCCTGCCTGCCCCCCAGGGTCTCTGCCTCTGAGGATCAGTGCCCAGTCCACCCTCCCCACCCCCACCAAGCGAGCCCCTGCTCCCTCAAAGCTTCGTGGTCCCCAGGACCCCGCCCCCTCTGGCTTCAGCGTAAATCGGGCAGGTCTCAGGCTCTGTCCACTCCTCAGGGATGTGAAGGAGGGGAGGAGAGGGGGGCCGCCCTGGGTGGGGAGTCCTGAAATGGGCGCCCCATTCCTCACCCCCGCCTGGCCTGCCCACAGCACGAGAAGTACACCAGCCAGCTGCAGGTGAGCGTCCCCAGCTCAGCGCCCAAGAGGGGTGAGGTACTGCCAGAGCACACACCGTACTGCGAGTCCTCGAACCCCAGGCTGGAGAAGGGGGACCGGAGGCCAGGAGCAGGTAGGCCCTGAGAAGCACACCCACACCCCTCACCCCTGCACACACCTACCCATGAAGGCCCATACCCCTCACCCCTGCACACAGCTACCCATGCACGCCCACACCCCTCACCCCTGCACACACCTACCCATGTACGCCCACACCCCTCACCCCTGCACAGACCTACCCATGCACGCCCACACCCCTCACCCCTGCACACACGTACCCATGCACCCCCACACCCCTCACCCCTGCACACACGTACCCATGCACCCCCACACCCCTCACCCCTGCACACACCTACCCATGTACGCCCACACCCCTCACCCCTGCACAGACCTACCCATGCACGCCCACACCCCTCACCCCTGCACACACGTACCCATGCACCCCCACACCCCGCCCCCCTGCACACACCTACCCATGCATGCCCACCCTGGGCCCACATTCCTCCTAGGGTTGGTGGGCCACCATAGGGTAAGAGAGGTGATAGGGGTGTGGTTAAGCATCCTAACATAGGCATTTGGACCTGATTGGATGGGTGTGATGAGATCTGCTCTGTACCTCTTGGCAGCTGGCACAATGGGTGGTCAGAAGTCTGGGAGGAAGGCGGCTGCTGCACAGCCCTGGTGGGCTCAAAGGGCGGGGACAGAGCTGAGGTGTGATGAGAGCCTGGCTGGGCATGGAGGGTGGGGGTCCAAGCCCGAGGCTAGAAGGAGGCATATCCAGGGAATTGGGCTCTGTTCCCACCTCTGTCCAGGAAAGGTCACTCTGCCACCCCTAGCTTTGGCCCTGCATTGCCGTGTTCTCATGTCAGCTCATATGTCTATGCGTGGGGTCACGCAGATGCCAGTATCTGGCTGGCATCCTATGGTGGCAAGCCCTCCACCTTTCCTACCCATCCTTGTCTTTTGGAAGACTGCCGAGGACTGGGAAGGTTTCCAGAAAGTCGTCTGAGTTGCTCAGTGCACCTGTCGGTGTTCAGGGTATAAAATAGCTGCAGCTGGTGACACCTGGCTTGGCACTGTCCCCAAGGATACAGCAGGTGCAGCCAGCTAGGCGAGCATTTCCTCGGCTTCAGCAGAGCAGAGGCAGCACTTTTGGGGCAGAAGAGGGGCCTGTGCAGTGACAGGCACCCCTGCCTCAGCAGCCCCCAGGTGCATCACTGAGCAAGAACAAGGTCCCCGGGGAGGGGTGAGGCATACAGGATTCACCTTGGGAAGTCCTCCATTCCGCACTACACAGTGAGCACATGGCACCTGCAGGTGACCCGGCCTCCAGACAGGCAGCTGGGAGCCACAGCCGGCCATAACTCAGAAGCCCACAGGGCTCCTGTAGGGGTGGAAGGAGCTCGGGAGCCTGGGAGAGGGCCGAGGGCATCGGAGCCAAAGCCCCAACCCAGGGGTGCCGGACCGTGCTTGTGCCCACCATTGCTGGACGAGCCCCTCAGTAGGAGCAGGAAAACCAGACTTCGTGGGAAATATTTTTAATATCCGACCAGTGATTCAAACATTAAAACAAACTGCCACAGGAGCTTCTCAGACTGCTATGGCCCTTAGCTCCCAGGGCACCCGTTTATGGCCTGAACATTTACTGGGATTTGCTGAGGAGCCAGACCCAGGTGTGGGCTCCCATGGGCCCCCGCCTCTTTGTCTGGCAGACTCTGGGCTCAGGGAGCTGGGGCTGGGCTGAAGGGATCACCTGCCCCAGGGTGGGGCTGCCGAGGACAGTACCCCCCTACGCCCGGATAAACCCGCTGGTCACAGCCACCCTGAGGGGACCCAGTCAGGGATGGGCAGGTGAGTGTCCACAGATCTCAAGGCAGATGTGGAAACAGGACTCAGAGCAGTCAGCAGCTTGCCAGGGTCCTGGGCAGCTACAGATCGGAGCTGGGAGGTGACGTCAGGCTCTGCCCAGAGCTCGACCTCTCCCATCCACATTGGGGGCCACAGCGACCTCAGTCTGAACTCTCTCTCTGCAGAGGCCACAACTTACCGGACACCCCTGTACGGGCAGCCCTCCTGGTGGGGTGAGGATGATGGTGTCACGCCACCTGAGGACCGGCGCCAGGAGGATCCCTACCCAGGTGGGTCTCGGACACTGGGCCCCTGAGACCCCCAGGGCTCCTGGAGGGCAGCGCATGAGTGAGGGGGCAGCCTGGCCTTGAGGTTCCCACTCCAGGGGAAACAGAGCCTTTGCTCTCTTGGATGGAGTCGGCGGCTCCAGCAGAGGAGGGTGGCAGGGGGTGGCTGCCCTGAGGCCCCACCTCAGGACATCTCCCCACACCAGAGCGTCCCAGGGAGCAGCAGGACGTGGAGCTCAATGGAACATTAGCTGGTATTCACGCCCCCGCCGAACCTCAGGGCTACCCATTCCGGAGGGAGCCCAGCTACTTCGAGATTCCCACGAAGGAGGCCCCGCTGCCGCCTCGGCCCCCTGATGTGCCGCTGCACGAGGCACCCACAAAGGACGTGGAGGCAGGTGGGGGCGGGGTGGCCCCTGTGGTGCAGAGCCACGCCTCCTTCACCATCGAGTTTGACGACTGCAGCCCCGGCAAGGTCAAGATCAAGGACCACATCACCAAGTTCTCCCTGCGCCAGCGGCGGCCCCCAGGCAAAGAAGCCACACCTGCTGAGATGGTCTCGGCCGAAACCAAGGTGGCCGACTGGCTGGTGCAGAATGACCCAAGCCTGCTACGCCGGGCCGGCCAGGGGGATGACCGTCACAGCACCAAGAGTGACCTGCCCATCCACACCCGCACCCTGAAGGGTGAGTGCCCAGCTGGCTGGTGCCGTGCTGACCGGGGCCCTAATCAGCGTGCTTGACTTTTGTCTTTCAATAATTGCCCAAGAACCACCTGCCTAACCAGGGAGCAGCATCCACTGTCTTCTGGTTGCATGTCTTGGCCACATGTGCTAGGCTCCCTGTGGTGTGGGGTATGTGTCCCCAACACAGGAGACTGTGTTAACTCACCTTGGGCATGGGATGAGGCCCCCAAGGTCGATTGCTCTTTCCTTTCCCTCGGCCTGACAAGTTGGGGGTCCCCCCTCCCCCAGGCCATAAGCACGAGGATGGAACGCAGAGTGACTCGGAGGACCCCCAGGCCAAGGCAGCTGCAGCAGCCGGGATCCCAGGGGAGACCAGCGGGGAGCAGATGCGGCTGCAGAGGCAGATCAAGCGGGACCCGCAGGAACTGCTGCACAACCAGCAGGCCTTCGTCATCGAGTTCTTCGACGAGGACACGCCCCGCAAGAAGCGCTCCCAGTCCTTCACGCACACCCCGCCTGCAGACCCCAAGGCTGACAAGCGCCGTGGCCCTGGGCCAGCCGATAGGGACCGGCCGGGTGTCCCGGCCCCCGCCCGGGCAGCAGGTGGCAGCTCGGGACCACAGAGAGCCAGCTCGCTCAAACGGGAGAAGACGGAGGAGCGGCTGGGCGGCCCCTCACCTGCTGCCCGAGCCACCGCCCGCCCCTTCGGCAGCGTGGGGCGCCGGTCCCGCCTGGCCCAGGACTTCATGGCCCAGTGTCTGCAGGAGAGCTCCCCAACCCCACGGCCCGGCCCTGAGAAGGCACCCCCAGTGCTGCCTGCTCCCCTGACGCCCCGTGGGGCCAGCTCTGTGGCCCCCCCTACCCCACCACCACCCCCC